TATCTGAATATAATCATAATACCACGGAAAACAAGTTCTTTGGATTAGACTTTTTAAAATCCTCACCCACCCGGACAGGGGCCTCGTAAGACCTCCGAGATCCTCTTCCTGGGTCCTGATGGACTGGATTCGTCTGATCCCGGGTTTCACTGCATCAATTGTTATAGATCCAATATCGATCTTTGTTATATTCAGGGGAACCCAAATTGTTATTTTCAAGTGCACTTGGAGAAGCGTGAATTAGACACCAGTCTCGTTTTGGTTATCAAAATAAGCCTCTGACCTTTATTTTGTCAGTTGTGTTTTTATAAATTAAAAGTAAGTGCTTACGTGCAAATACTCATATAACAGTAGTAGGAAGGGAGTGAATGGGTAAAGGCAGTACAGATAAGGCATAGGGATGAACGTCATGTACATATAACAAATAAGTTCCGGGAAAGAGAAGGAACAGACTGATTTAGGAGAGACAGCTCAGGTCGGGGCTATCTGCTCCCGGAACTAGACATATATGGTCTTAAGTGTCGTTTTAAGCATTAAGCATTTCCTGAGTCCAAGTTAGCCAATTTTAATAAAGGCTATCTAATATGACACCTATAAGCTTGAACCTTGGAATCAAAGTAAATTTTTTCATAGTCTTGATAGATCTCCACCTATTATTGTTAACTCATCAGAAGCAATGCTCCTTTCAGTCTGTCATCAATGAGCTCTTTCCTTGTGGAGTACAAATGTGCAAAATATGCTTTTTATTGTACTGATATTCTAAAATCTGTATTTCTGCCCTACTGTGCATATAAATGTAAATACAAAATGTTTTGATCATGTTGACATCAATGCTAATTGTTTCTGAAACATGATTACGGTTTTCTTGTTACTCAGAGAGCAGCGAGCTATCGTCCCATCCAGAAGGTGCTCGGTCCCAGTGTCTTAGTCCTTGCACTTTGCTTTCTGCACCTCATTGTATATTTTCATCATACGTTCTGGCCCAATCCCATGAACCACCAGTGCCTGCTGGTACCTGCACACGTTATAGGCCAATCCATACACATGGAACCGTTCATCATGGCGAAAGGTTAGATTTGCTGCTAAAGCCAAGAACCCAAAATACACATCGTCCAATGGGAAAACAGGGATTTTCTTGGATGCGTCGTACAGCTTCTTCACCGAGTGCCCTGGGAACAGGAATCCCCCACCGGAGAGGAAGTCGGGAAATAAATGGAAAGGATAGAGATTCTCTGAAATGCGGTATTTGGTGTGACGCATAACGGCTGAATGAGGACGCAAGTAGCCGTGTAATGTGACAGGGGAGGAGCCATGTTCCTTTATGTACTTCACCACAGCATAGGGATTCACATATTCATCATCGTCTCCTAAAAGAGGAGAGAAAATGACTGTTAGTAGTCACCGAAAATACAAATAATAGCAGAAATCAAGTCAAAATGGTTTTCTTATTAGTCTTGTGATAAAAATGTAAAATAAGAGATGAAATTAGTATTTTGTAATATAGTTTTTATTGGACTAATAGAATTATTATTATTTAGTCTGACAGGGTTACTCAGGGCCGGCCTTAGGCAATTAGGCGCCCTGTGCAAAAAGTCTTCACGGCGCCCCCCCCACCTCCCACCAAGTTGCCTGAATACAGTAACACACACAGGCACCGGGGACGTGTGTATCACGAGGCAAACAAGGCATCTGCCTTGGGCGCCACTTTGCAGGGGGCGGCAAAAAAAAGCATCCCTCCAAACCCCCAGGCAGATCCCTTGCTTGCCTCGCATCCTGGGGGCTCAAGAGCTGACCGGCTGGCCACTTTTGAGCCCCCCCAAGGCTGGCAGCGGGCAGCGAAGGAGCATACTCACCTGAGCTCTTCCTGCTCAGCTTCCTCTGCGCCGCTTAATGAA